GATCGCGGCAGGAGCGTCGCGATGATGAGGATGAGCTCGACCTACCACCTGTATAAGATCGCCCTGCTGGTCAAGACGGACGACGCTGTGAAGGACAGCATGATCTTGAGGGCCGGCGAGCCCTCCAAGGCGCTATACTTCGTTGTCTCTGGAACAGTCGAAGTAATCCAGGTATTTCAGCGGGTTTTATGTAGGTTCCGCTGCACGGTCCATTTGCCCTGTACCAGTAGACAAAAATATTCCGTGTCATGACCTCCCAGATGTTGGTGAGGGTGAAAGAATGATTTGCCGATTCCTACAGATGAAGGCCAGGATACCGTTGCCACCTGAAGGCACGGTAGTGCGTGTGTGCTCTGGGCTTGTCCCTTGTAGTTCCAGATGGCAGCAAGCGAGGAGCGCCAATAACGACGGGCGTGCTCGAAGGTTATCCTATTCTAAACACCCCACCCTTCGCGCGTGTGTGTGGGATACCGTTTCGCGTCGCGCCCATCTCCAGCTGAAGAGGAAGAGGGTCAGAAATCGAGCGTCCTTGAACGCTGGGGCTGGAAAGGCGGCCGGCAGCAACGGCAACAAAATAGCATGCAACACTATCTTGGCGGGAGGCGGAGGAGGAGGCGTCGGGGGGGCAGCGGGAAAGCCCGAGAAACCACACACACACAGTCCGCGCGAAGGAGATGGAGCAGCCGAAATTGTGTACAAGGTAACAACGGGCTGTTGCGCACTCTCCAGCAACGCTGCTGAAGCTGTGCATGTTACACAAACAGTTCGTAGCGTGTTGGGACACACAAGCCTTGCACTGGTGCTTCCGACGCATGCCGCTTATTCATGATGATACGCCGAGCACGTTGTCTCAAGTGCTGCCCTACGAATGGTCGAAAGACGATGAGCGATCGAACGTCACCACGCACACGTTGTTTTGTTTTGTCGACGCGTGTCTACTCCCGGGATTGATTGATTCACAAGGCCTCGCCATTGGTATACCCCAACCGGTCCACGGGATACAAAATGTTAAACGGCGTCGATGCGGTGCATCCTCTGATTTCGTTCGGAAGCTAGTCGTTGCTACATGCTGAACTCATGGAGGGCAGCGGTTTTGCCGTGCTCGATTGTCACGCACTAACGTACCCGTCACTCACTATCCACGCGTTTGCTTTTGTCGAATTTCGCTTCTGAAACGTTTCCAGACGGCTCGAAGAGTACTGACTGTGTTGGAGAGCGGGGAGTACTTCGGAGAGTCGGGCGTTCTGACGTACTTTAACGGCGGCAGCAAGTCCTCGGCCGCCGTTCCGCCCGTGACTGAACAGTTCTGCCTTGTGGCGCGGACCAGCGTTGAGATGCTCGTCCTTCGCCGTAAGCACTTCAACATCATCGAAATGCCGGTAGGGTGGGAATGAAAATCTGCCTTCAATTTGATACGCGGGTGTTTCTAGTATTCGTATATCAGGCCGTCATGTGGGTTCCCATCGTTGGTGCTGGATTAACTCTATCGCCAATATCATATCAATATTACGATGCATGATCAAATATTTTCTTTCTAGCAGACGATTCCCGGAGTTGGTCCTGTTGGTTGTAGGCCGAATTGTGACCATGCGCGCCAACCTGCAACACTGTCCTGAGCGCTTCTCTGGCACGCGGCGATGCAGATGCTGGAGATCATCAAAGCAAATCACGCCGCCCGCATCCAGTGGAGGGCCCAGCGCAAGCAGGACGCGCACCGGGGAAGAGCGGTGCTGAGAGCGGCCAAGAAGGCGCTGGGCCAAGCCGCCGCCAGGGTGGTGAGATGTCAACATTAACTTCTTCGTACAAATGTTGAAAGACATGCGGAGCTCACTGTAGGAAGACTGGAGACGAGATCTGAAAGTGTGGTTCGCGATAGAGTTATATCGTGTTTGCATGCGAAAAGATCAAGAGTGTTTGACCCGCAGCGTGGCTAATGCGACCAGGTATTTTGTGTTGTTTCTCCAACAAATAGAACGCCGGACTTTCCCAAGGCATACTCCTATGGAGCCCGTAAACACCCCCCGCCTTCCCATATATTCTCCTTATGACTTTCGCCTCTCCAACAAAGGGTGGTGAAGAAGACCCGATCTTCCAGTCGTGTCAAAAACAGCTCCTGAATTCACAAAGCCGGACTGTTGCCACTGGTGCTGCCGGGAATTCCTCGCAAGGAGCTCGGCTAAGTGCTCCTATAGACGAAGGTGGCGACACTTCTTTGCTAGCGCAAAGGCACGAGCGCGGGAGTGTGACGAAATCATATTTGTCGGGCAGGTCCGCCATGCCACGTGAAGAACCAAGCTTCGCGAAACGTCATCATCACCCTCCAGGAGACCTTGGGGTAAACGATCTCGCAGGAACCGTGGTTTCAATGACTTGGGGGGCCGGACGTAACCCAATGGGGGGGGAAGAAGAGCAGCAGGACGGAGGGGGCGATGTCCAATCACTCGCGGGGCTGAGCGTCGCATCTGGGGACAGCATGCAGTACAGCGTGGACTCCGGGTGAGCATTTCGTCGAGTGATCGGCATGCGCTGTACGCGCGTAGTACAGAATATTTTCTTCCCGTGCATTTAGATCACACTTGAGTGCCCACCGTATACTGCAGTACATGACGTCCAATGTTCCTTCAGCTGAATATCCGATGTTCCCGAAGCCTCTGGTCATGAACAATCGTTGGAAATCGTACATTGGACATTTTCATTCCGTGGTTACCTTTTTCGTATTAGGTGGCTCCCAACTGTTGCGGGAATGGGGAACAACCCTCCCCTAGGAGGCGATGGTGCTGGCACTCATGCAGAATCCCAAGGCCTCGATGACGACCGCGACGCACAACTGCAGCAAGGAGACCCGCCGCAAGGTCATCAACCTTACGGTTTGAACTCGGGGGTCGAGAACGCCAAGCCCTCCGGAGCCCTGGCGGGTTCCGTGTCCCTTCCAAACCTGAGACTACCCGCGGGTTTGGGGGATGAGAGGGCTACCGGGAGAGGACCGCCTTTCCTGGGCATTGGGGTAACAGGAGCCGGTGAGAACGTCGGTTGTCATTTCCAAGACTGTTGAGTTGCTTCTTCCCCCCCAACGCAAGGGGCGGTGCGATTAGCGATCTCCACGCCCGGAAATCAAGCGATTCCATGGAATGATCACGGAACCGATGGACAAACCGCGGCAAGATTCCGTACATGAAACTGTCAAAATGTCACCTACAATTCTCTCCCACCCGTCCCGAATACACACAAAAACACAGGCACGTGTATGCGTATGTCTTTCGCATCACACGATGCCACAACCCTACAATTCTCTTGACTCAACGAACGAACGCTGGGTACACAGCATCAAACAAATGCATCGGAGCGGATCCACAATTCCGTGGAACGCAAGACAACCCACAACCCAACCCAACACTACAGCAACCGCAACGCCCAGGTGGAACCCGCCGCGGGAAGCCTGCGCGATACACGGGACACAAACAGCTGGGCTTGCATGGCAGCAAGAGCTTCGGCGCCTTCTTAGGAGCTATCGAGCTGCGAGAAGGTGACGGCAGCAGCAGCAACCACAGCGGTTACCCACCTCAACCACCCTTTCGAAACAGGAAGAGGCTCAAGAACGGCGCCGAGACCTCCGACAGCAAGAGACGTTTCCACGCTGCCCGAGCACCAGAAATGCACAGTCGCGGGGATGCCACTAGAAAAGCGGGCGGCGCGCGGAAGGCAAGGGTCGGGGACGGGGATGAGGGCGGGGCCGGGCCTGCGCCTCGTTCTGACGTGGAAGTCGTGCCTGCCGTGAAGGGTGTGGAACTTTTTCCTGTTCGAGGAATCAGTCGAATATGTGCGAGTTAGTGACAAGCGGGGTATCTATCAATATTGGCCTATCGGGAAAGGCGTAGCACCTCAATGTTGACCTGAGGCCTGAGGTCGAAAGCTCGGTCATTGTTGTAGACCGTAGTTGACAGAGGGAGCACCACAGGCAGTCATTACAACACTTCATGGATTCGCGCAACGACACTTCCGCACACACACAACGGTGTGGAGGCCGCACGAGGCGTTGGCCAGCGCTCGTTGTATCTCGTAAGGAAAGAAAGATGTGCGCTACCCTTGACCGATGAAAGGTACATCTGTGGGGAATGTGACGCAAATTTGTCCAGCATAGGGGTAAGTTGCTTCGAGCAAAAAGCAGGAAAAGGTCTGCTCAAATTTCTTCTTCGTTTCTTCGGGCAGATACGTGTAACATGCCTGAGAACGTGACACTTTGGACAGGTCCCAAATTCGAAACGTTTTGTTAGAGCCCGATCCACCTGCCATTGTTCTTTCTTGCAGAAACACGACGCCTCCCATGCCATTCCATTCCGTAGATTATGGTATAGGATACCAGTATTCCGGATGATTGGACTGTCTTTTAGTGTTGTACAGACTAGTTGGGATTCCCGTTTCGACCTCCATCCAAGCGAATCCCAACCGATGTAGTATGTGAAGCATGGCCGTGATCACTACTACTTAAAAAGCGTGAGGTAGAGTATATCAGGACAAGAAACTGAAAATCGGGAACGCCTTGCCAACAATCTCCCAAGGGTAGGAGCCGGGGACACCTGGGTTGCCAGAAACACGTCTCCCCCATCGTACCACGAATTCCAAGACATGCCCCATCTTTCCTGCGTTTCAAAGAATCGATCTTCGGTCGTCACAAGCTAGTGCCCCGAGTCAGCTACCTGACAAGCTACCATTTGTTAACGAAGTACACAACAAGTGTGGAAGATACGAAGTGTCAGAGGGAGGGCTCCAACTGTTAGGTGTCGGAGTGCCCGTGACGATGTATCATTATATTGTTGTTGTTGTTGTTGTTGTTGTTGTTGTTGTTGTTGTTGTTGTCTTCACATCAAAAACCGCTCCGTTCTCTCTGCCCAGTACCGTACTATGTAGTCTGACACTTGACGGCGTCGATTCCCGTGGCCACAGGCTAACTTATGTTAAGGAGGACCCGATTCGCAGGGTATCCGTCGATTGACTTTTACCTGAATCGGTACACCTTCGTATATGGCGTCAGCGGCAGGATATGGTTCGAATCTCCTTGGGTGCACACTTGTTCTCCTGACTTGGATATTTTCCCATGGACACAATGTGTGTCAGTCCTGAGAACACCTCTTGGAGTCGATCCTACATAGAACCTTGTGACTTCCATCGAATTACCCATCCTGGCCACAAGAGGTTCCCAGTTGAGGGTAAATTCTGTGGGTGGAGAGTGTTAAGGAGGACCCGATTCGCAGGGTATCCGTCGATTTACTTTTACCTGAATCGGTACACCTTCTTCGCATAATCGCAGGGTATCCGTCGATTGACTTTTACCTGAATTGGTACACGTTCGCACTTAATCAAAAAAAGGTACACGAAAAAAAATGGACCCGAAGCGTCTGCGAGCCTATAGAATAGGGTTTGATGACCCCTTTGGGTCTACAAGCTCTTCTTTTTTTTGCGGTAAAAAAAAAGGGGGGAGGAGAGAGTGCGGGGAGAGACAGAAGTACGGCAGAAAGAGACGAGTGTACTTCTGTAGACACAACAGCTATCTCCACACGTAGGCCATGAGGGCTGCCCGCGACAGGGCGGTGGACACATACAGGATCATAGAAGGGTTGATGCGTGGTCGCGGTGCGGCCAGTAGCGCAGGTTAGGCTTGTAGACCTCGAAAAGATCAGTCGTCAAGTCACATAAATTACTCCATATTTAGTATCTTCAAATGATCAGTGAAAATGATCAGTGAGATGGCTTGTGGACCCATAGCTAGTTCTTGTAATTCTCTGTTTCCCCAATGTGAGCCCTGCCGGCTCACTTCAGCTCCTGTGGTTTTCCCACGATTCCCACAAGCACGCAAGCACACACCAGCACACGCCCACCTTTGCATCAGTGGCTCTCTAGGTTCGCGCGAGGGTATGTGTGGGGCTATGCTGATTGTGCATGGCTCGTCTATTTTGCTGCTGCTGTGTAGAACAGCTGCTGACATGATGACTGCTGGATCTTGGGAGTGTATGATTTTCAAATTTCGAGGATATTCAGCATACATACCACGATATCCTGGCCTGGTTGGGCTTGAAGTGCCCCTTTTCGCTGTCCTCCTGTCTTTGCTTATAGAAGCTTCCTAGATTCGGGCGAGGGCATGCATGTGGAGCTATTGATGTGTGTCTCTGTGAAAGGATATGGGGAGAGATTCATGGTGGTATTTGCATTTAGAGCCGTGTAGTTTTTTGTCATTTCGGCCGTTCCAGGGACCTTGATATTTCACACTGGCACTAACGTATTTTCATTGGTCACCGGGTAGCGCGGTCGATGCGAAGAATAAAGACACACCTATCTATTGACTTGCCAACACCTGGTGTGGAGGGATACAGAGCGGCAACTCCATAGCATGCCACAACACCAGCACTTGCAAATAATCAATCAACCAATCAATGATCTGTCAGGACGCCTATAGACCCAAAAGCGTTGAACAGGGTCGAGCCCCCTGACGGTGGGCCCGTTGAGTAGGAAGGGGGACTCGATTATATCTAGGGCGTGTAACTCCAAAAGGGCCCCCGAACCAGGGAGGCGTGGTGACATCACAGGTGAAGCTGGCCGCCAGACCCAGCCCCAACAAAGGAAGAGCGGATCCGCGAGCGTGTCAGCAAGCAGGTCAATGTCCCATGATGCCCGCTACTACATGTACTCATATTGTAGAAGTATTATTTTTTGGGACTCCGCAAAAAGGAAAGACCCTTTATTCGGCACCCATTGGTTTGAGTTCTTGGCAGTTTGGGATAAACAGCAGTTGCGTGGTGACTATTCTGTATGTACGTAATAGAGTACAGGATGTGCTGATGGAGAAACAATCCCTGCTGTTCTAGGCGGCAACACAACAAGTGTTTGATGCGCGCCCGACGCTTCCCAAATTAGTCTGATGTATTGTACACAGTCTGTATCGCGAAGTAGTGTGGTTGTGTGGTTGCTGTAGCTGTGCTCGTCTTCAAAAGTCTATATTCGATACCATTCATCGTGTTCATGTTTGGTCAATACCGCTCCGTTCTTCTAGCTTCCGCAAGCAGCTTGAGTGCGAAAAGTTTATGAGGCGAAAATTGCCTAGCCTAGCCCTAACCCCACACGAACGTGGGTCTTGCATGGAATCAGTTACAGCGGTCAAGGACGGATACACAAAACAGCATGGCATTCCAATTCGGATAATGGCTACTGCTGTGATACCAAGCCACCAGGCAATAGCAATAATGTGTATTTTGAGCTCTCTCCAGGAGAGCTGCCGTCGATGCTCAATATCGTACGATCTATGTGCGCACCCTCCCACCTCTTTTCTGGGTGTCAATTGAGCGGAGAGCAGAGAGCGCCAGATGTGGTACGAAGTAGGTCACATTGGCGTCCTCGGCGCTTGTTTCTTCCCTGGTGCGCGATCCGTTGCGTTGTTGGTTGTTATTGGCTATTGGTTTGAAGTATGTAGTCTTGTCTGTGTCATGGTCATGTGTACTCGCAATGCGGTTGTTTCCGGCTGCGCGAGTTGTCGCGTGTCAGTCTCTCGTTCTGGTAGGCGCTTTTTCTTTGGCACGCCCATTGCCCGTCTCTTTTCTCCCTCGCCTACCGAATCTCCTGGGATTGGCCCGTCCGGGTCGTTACGAGGGATTTACCCATCTTGCCGGTTGCAGTACGACGCTTCGCCACGTTTTTTTTTTGTTTGTTTCTCTCCCATCATTGGACTCTGCCGTCTGCCCCTCTGGCCCCTATCCTCCACTTCTACTGGCTAGACGACCCAACCGGGGTCACATAGGAGGGGGGGGTTGGACCCCCTCCTGCGGTTCATGCCTGAGGTATTTTTATCGCGAGAAGGGTACAGCAATCCCTTCCCTCGCGACTTACGAAGTCGATTATGGTTTACTAACAAACGAGCTTTGCAGCGCGTCGCTTTCATCCTATACCAGGATTTATTCAGTGAGAAAAAAACTCTCCCTGCCGGGACTCGAACCCATGACCTGGCCCTTAGCAGGCTGCGAGGCTACCCATTAGACCACCGGGGCGACCGTGTGTCGTCTCCACGCGGTCACCCCGCTGGTGCACAGCTCTGTGCTGTCGCCGCAGCCCGTCCTACTGCCGCGCGCCGTGCCCGCGAGGAGATTGAAACCGCCCTCTCCATACGAGGACGTGTATCCGCCGGCGTTCGGGCCGCTCCGCGATCCGATCCCAAGATGGTAGATAAAACACCCTTCTTACTTTGGCAAATAGGAAGTCAACACCGAGAGTTTCCGCCTCTTGGTGACGGAATCGTCGGAACCGTACGGTGGTGGGGACGGGCGGACACCGTCGCTACCGCCGTCCGATGCGTCCGGTGATATCCGACGTTTTTGGTGCTGAGAGGGGCGGGGAGCCGTCCACTGCTGTAGTTCCCCACCTACTTTGTCGGATAGTGGTAAAACGCGGACCTGCTGTCGGGACGTTGTTGTTGTTGTTGTTGTTGTCTTCGGCGGGTTCCGAGCTAAAGACGAATCACCTTTCCCACCTCGGAGAAGAAAAAAAAAAAAAATTG